GAGCCAATCAGCTAGATGTTGCTGGGGCAGTCTGAAGCTTGCTGGCAGCTGGAAGTTTGCTGGGGCCCCTTTGGCTGTGGCTCTCAACACATAATATCATGTCACCTACTAATTCTCCTATGCATATGCCCAAGAAAGATAAAAACATGCACATGAACACTTGCATGTAAATGTTCATAGCAGCATGATTCATAATAGCTAAAAGTGCAAATAATTCAAGCATCCCTCAAGTGATAAAGTGGATAAATAAAATGTGGTAGATTATATAATGGGCTATTATTTGACAGTATAAAGAATGAAGTACTAATGTATCCTATGAAGTAGTATGCATACTACTCCATAGATGACCTTAACACATTATGCTAAGTGAAAGAATTCAGTTACAAAAAACAACATATTATATGATACCATTATAATGAAATGTAGAAAAATGCATAAAAAAAGAAAGATTGGTGGGGATGCTAATTCACAATAAGTGGTGGTAAAGGTGCTCCCTCTCTCATTGTGAGGATAAGTGCTAGCAAAGCCATGCTGGTGGGAAACGGAACCCTTCTTTTTTTATGTAATTGGGACTTTTCATTTTCATGCTCATGTTCCCAACAGGAGGCATGAATATGTTTAATGCCAAACCAGATTAAATTTCAGATGGCTAGAACAAAACAGGTAGTTCATGCCTTGAAGGATGTTCTACTACCCCTCAGCATTTCGAGAACAAAAATAGAAGGCTGTTCTTCTGTCTCAGAACATTGGGGACAAAACTGATAATGGACAACAATCATTCTCTGAAAGCTCACGAGAATTTTAGGCACCACATTGATTATATCAACTAAGAACACAAGCCCATATTTCTGGCCTCTTAGAAAGCCTAATCATTATGCTTATTGCACAAAGCCCACTATATGTAGGTTTATTAGATTAAGGAAAAGTTGTGTTATTTTCTTAGGAAAGTTAAGGCATATAAAGATACATTCTCTTCTTTTCTATAAATCCTCTTTTACTTCACATAGGGACTTATGATGAGCATAGTTAATATTGTCGATAAGTGGACTGATATTTAGAATTGCCTTTCACTGAGAGAGATTACCAAGATATAAGAACGAGGGCACCTTGACTAAGAAACTCTTTGAGAAATCAGATCAACCAGTTTTATGAGAATAAATGTTGGCTTTATACAACATTTTTAGAATAATGTTAGAAATATTATTTTATTTAGATTCTTGGGTTTAGAATTCTTAAGTTTTTGGCTGAATGGGTTCCTAATATGCTTTAAGAATATTATATTTTAAGTATAATATTTAAGGAGACTTCTTTAGATGGAAATTTTAGATTAGAAATGAAGTACAGGTGTACTTTAAACTTAAAGGTTAATGAAAGGTTAGGAGACTTAGTGTCTGGTTATGTAGTTTGGCATCTGTTAATAAGAAAATAGTATATCTTGGGAAAAATAGTGCACCTTGGGAAAATCTGAAAAATGTGTCACATTTTATTAATGATTTTGTACCCTAAATAATTGATAAGTAAATGTCATATCCTGGAAAAATGGAAAGAAATAACTATATTATCTCTTAGATCTTAAGATCGATGTATGGGTCTATCTCAGTGAACCACTGAATATAGGAAATGGAATCATTTCTATTAAATGATGGCAAGAAAAAACATTAGCAAATTGAATTTAACAGTTTGTTATTAAAAGAACAATTTGTGAATTGGGCAGCCCTCAGAACCATCAGAGGTTCAGGAGATCCTTTTCATAATATGAGCAGGTAGCATTTCTGGACAGAAAATGAAAGTGAGGTAGAGAAAAATTTGATTGGTCACTGCGTAGTGGCCTTATTTGAACATGTTCTGATCAGGTGGCAGCCTGTGATTTACTGAAGCATGGCTACAGTAATTGTCTGAGACTGGCCATTTGTTACAAAAGTATACTCCTATATTAGGTCCTGTGTTAGTCCATATATTATATTATATTAGTCAGCTTTTCATCACTGTGACCAAAATCCCTGACAAGAACAACTTTGAGGAGGAAAAATTTATTTTGGCTCACAGTTTTAGAGGTCTCTGTCTATGGTCCTCTGTCTCCAATGCAAAGGATACCTGTTCAACTCATGCCAGTTAGGAAGGAGAGAGACAGAGAGATCCACCAGGAGAA